AGCAAAGAAGAACTAAAGAGCCTCTTGATGAAAGTGAAAGAGGAGAGTGAAAAAGTTGGCTTAAGGCTCAACATTCAGAAAACTAACATCATGGCATCTGGTCCCATCATTTCATGGCAAATAGATGGGGAAACTGGAAACAGTGAGAGACTATTTTTTTGGGCTCCAAAATCACTGCAGATGATGACTGCAGCCATGAAATTAAAAGACGCTTACTCCTTGGAAGAAAAGTTATGACCAACGTAGACAGCATATTAAAAAGCAGAGACATTACTTTGCCAACAAAGGTCCATCTGGTCAAGGCTATGGTTTTCCCAGTAGTCATGTATGGATGTGAGAGCTGGACTATAAAGAAAGCTGAGCGCTGAAGAATTGATGCTTTTGAACTGTGGTGTTGGAGAAGACTCTTGAGAGTCCCTTGGACTGCAAGGAGATCCAACCAGTCCATCCTGAGGGAAATCAGTCCTGAATATTCATTGGAAGACTGATGTTGAAGCTGAAACTCCAATACTTTGGCCACCTGATTTGAAAAACTGACTCATTTGAAACGGCACTGATGCTGGGAAAGATTGAAGGCAGGAGGAGAAGGGGACGACAGAGGATGAGATGGTTGGATGGTATCACCGACTCAATGGACATGAGCTTGAGTAAACTGTGGTCTTCTTTACAAGCCGGGGCTTGGTGGACTGGAGTCAATGAATAGAAAGCAAAAGAGAGAGACTAATATTCCCTGGGTTATGTGGGAAAACAATAAAGCCCTAGAATAGGGCTTGTACTGCTCACAAAGGCACAGGGCATCCTCTCAAGGAGGTCTTGAAAGCCTGGGCAGGAAAGTGAGCTCGGCAGGCCTCCACACTCCAAAGAACTAGCCAGAGAAAGAAGGACCCGGGGGACCCAAGTTTCTAGTGGAACAAGGGTGCTTTATTCAAGTTTGCATGAGCTTATATATTGTTATACAAGGAAGCTTTAGGTAAAAAATAAAGTTAGGCAAAGAACAAAAAACCAGACGTATAACAATCATTACCAAGGGAATAACAAGAAATAACAATTGTCACAAGGCCAGAAGACAATCCATATCTTGAGTAAGAGGGTCGTGACTAACAGTTTTACCTTAGGGTAAAAGGTTACTGAAGGAAATCCATGCATGTGTTCCATCCCATGACCTCAGTCCTGGGAACAGCGTGCCGTTCCACTCGTCCCTGTCTACGAGGAACTGATACAGAACAGAGGGTTCATGAGAAACAGAAAACAACATACAGGAATCCTAAAGTTAAATGTTCCCTGACATAAACTCCAGGAGTTGGTGATGGACAGGGAAGCCTGGCGTGCTGCAGCCCATGGGGTCGCAAAGAGTCGGACACAACTGAGCAACTGAACTGAACTGCAGAAGTAAAGTGACAGGGAATGGTGGGCTTAGAATGTTGCTGTTTTTATCTTGTTTTATTTTGCCATTGAATATGAGGTATGTTGATACATAGGGAAGACTTTGTGCATCAGTGGAGAACTAGACATTATCTAGGTTCTAGAGATATTATCTAGATTCTAGTGACCTGATTTTAGCCTTTCACGGCCAGGTGGGCTATTTCACAGAGCTGTACATTGTAGATAATTGAAAGAGACAGAAAATAATTCTTATCTGTAAACTTGCAAATGAATGCTGTCCAGTACAGGGAACATCCTTCTTCTCTGGGATAAAAAAATGTGAAAGGAAGTTTCTTTGGGGTACAGTTCTCGGTTGACAGTTATCTTCTACTGTCTCCTGACTCATTTTGTTGAGACAATGATCTAATAATTATTTGATTTAGTAATTATTTCTGCCTTTGATTCAGTCATTGTCAAAGGACATGAATTTTCAATTGTGTGTCTAGAGGAGGTCATAATTTGCTCTAAGCAATACACATTTCCTCACCTAAGTCAACCTGCCAAACCTTGGTGAACACTTACAAGACAACAGGGAGGTTTAGATATAGTCTGTGGTTGTGATGATGGAATAAAGCGAAATGACACATACAGGAGTCAAAGCTGTTCCCTGGCCCCGGGCAGTACCCAGTGGTCCTTCCTTGATGACACAGCCCCAGCCTGACTCTCTCTGGCAGCAGTGAATGTGCAGGGCCTCTGGGGCCCAGGCCTCCCCGCCACCTGCCACCTTCCTTTAGATGTTTTCACTCCTGCTACCATGTGCCTCTTCCTCACAGGCCCTGTGGCCCTGATTATCTGCCAAAAGTGCCTCTTCTGTGGCAAGTTTCTCAACTAGAGCAACATATTTCACCTTCATCAAGGCCTAAATACAGGCAGAGAGCAAACCAAACAAGCTAGAACCATAACCATTTTTTTTCTTCTCAGAAAAGGCTGTTCTTTTGCTATTTCTTCCTCCTTATTTATATTTGTCTATGAGTTCTGTTTCTGTTGTTGTTTCTGAGTCATTCTCTGTACAAAGCAAAACATTTAAAATTTTTCTCCATAAGGTGTACTTACCAGGCACAAAACCTTACCAAGCAAACCTATGTTTCAGTTTAAAAAGGTAATAACCTTTCTCTTTATTGAGATAACAAAAAAATTTTCTATTGAAAAAAATATTCCATTTTTTCTTGTGTGTTTATTTGATTAATAAATGTACATTTTGTTAACCTTGCATATTGCCCAAAATGCAAAAATAGTGGAATGGTTATATAGAAATAATTTAAAAATTCTAGCTCCTTATTCATCCATGCTGATTTATTTCCCAAGAAGTTAAATGCATTTTTGAAAATCAATATTTTAATTTGGGGGTGCAAACATCAAAAACCATGATGAGATGACAACTCCTTCTGGTTCCCATTACCCCACAGCAGGAAAAGATTATTATCAACTTTTCAAACTCTTTCCGGAAGTTGTACGTGTGTATAAGCCAGTATAGTTATTTTTCTCCTTACCTTTACATGAATGATGAGCTATTGCACTCATTACTATTTTGTCATTTGACTTTTTTTCACTTAACAATAATTTATCATTATTTACTAAATAGTAATATATTTAGAGCCCTTTATCACAATGAAAAGATATTCCTCCTTTTTTAATCTAGTTAATATTATTACATGTGAATATACTGGTGTCCCATAATACACTTCTCCTCTCCCCTTTTAATGAAGTTAAATAGCTTCCAATCCTTTGTGCCTAGAAACTCTGCTGTAACGAGATACATTTACACAAGTCAGTTCCCAGGCATGCAAGTATATCAGTAATACATATTTCTATCAGACAAATCCATAGGTGGAAAGATATACACATCTGTAATTTTGAAAATCCTGAATTTTCCTTCCTAGCCATGAAGACAACGTAGAGTCCCACCAAGAATTTTCAAGACTGCCACTGACCCATTCCCAGAGAACAAATTCTATTATCACACATTTAGATTATTTTCTACTCTGAGAGGTGCAAAATGGAGCTTCATTGTACTTTTAATACTTATTTCTCTCATGAGTTAATTAAACCATTTTTTCATATATCTGAGTCATTTATATTTTTCTTTCTCTGAATTCCCTGTTCACATTCTTTGCCCATCTTTCCCTCAGGTTTTTGACTTCTTTCTTATCAATTTGTGTTGGTTCTATAAAAATTAAGAAAAGTAGCTTTGATGAGTTGCAATATTTCATCCAGATTATCAGCTGTCTTTTGGCTTTGCTTATATTGCTTTACTTTCTGTGCCTAAGGTTAGTTTTATGCTGTCAATTCACTTTTTTATGACTTCCAGATTTTCTGTTACTTTAGAAAGGTTTAAAGTTACAAAGTAAGTTTCACATGTTTTCTTCTGGTAGGTTCAGTTTCATTTTTCATATTTGCCTACTGATACATATACATTACATACTGATAGTTATTCTAGTCCAACTTAGTTTTTCCTTTGAAAAGTTTAGTTCCAACATTATTAAATATTCACATTTCTTCTTGTATGAGATGCTATCTTTATAATAGTCTAAATTCTCATATGAACTGTCTTTTCATGCTGATTATGTTACTGTAATTAAGATTTTAGAGCTAGATTTTATTCTCTGCAAATAATTTAATCTTGTTTTCCTCTTAAAAAAACATTCTATTGGTTCTTCTTTGTTAATTTCCAAATAAATTTAGAATCACTCACCTCTACTAGTTGAAAAAGGTATTTTTCTCCCCTCTGAGATAGGATTTACCGAATAAACTGTTTAGGAAGCCTAATGCCTTTGTATGTGTTTTTCTTACTAGTCAAGAACAAGGTAGGCGAATCCATGTTTAAGTGTTGTTTTGTAATTTCCAAAGTGTTTTCAGGCATATGTCTCACATATTTATTGAATTGTTAAATAGATTAAATGTAATCATAGGTATTTCATTTTTATTCTACTATAAATGTGGCCTTTTACTAACATATAGCTTCTAAATGGTTGTTGTATCACAAAAGCTCTTGATTTCTATACACTTACTTTCTGTACTACTATGTTATTAGTTGAGTCTCTTGGATGCATACCTATAGCCTCTGTAATTTTGACAGTCTTTCCTCCTTCTTTTAAATTTTTTTGTTTGTTTTATGGCATGCTGCACAGCTTGTGGGATCTTAGTTCCCAGATCAGGGGTCGAACCTGGGCCCTTGGCAGTGAAAGTGCAGAGACCTAACCATCGGACCCCCAGGGAATTCCCCTTCTTTCCAATTTTTGACTTTTCATTCTTTACCTCACTGTGTTGGCTAATATCTTCACTGTAACAGTAGTCATTCTTCCCTTGTTTATGATATAATTAGTTATTAGCTTTCTCCACTAAGTAAGTATTGTTGACTTTTGGACTGAATTTTAATTTTTCATCCAGTGATTGAATTTTGAGATTTGCAGAAAAGTCTATTGGAAAGACAAAATATTGAATCAGCATTCTATATTCCCAGTGGCAGACTGTTCAATGAGACTATTGTTGAAGTTTCAAAGGACATGCAAACTCAGACATTTTTCATCACAATTCATCAAAAAATGAGAAAGGCTCTTTAAATTTTTGTACACGTCTATTTTATTTAGCACAATTTCTGCCATCTAAAAATTAGATTTTCTTATTTACAAATACTTGTTATTTCTTCAAATACTTATTTCTAAATACTTATTTAGAAATCCCTAAAATGTCTACTTAGGTTTTTCTGTTTTAGGCAGACATCACACTGACATGGTATTTAAACACCTCTCTGGAGTCAAGATAGTGAGTGATAAGTGATGGTCACTCAGCTGTGTCTGAATCTTTGTGACCTCATGGACTGTAGCCTGCCAGGCTCCTCTGTCCATGGGATTCTACAGGCAAGAATACTGGAGTGAGTTGCCATTTCTGTCTTCAGGAGTCATAACAGGAAGAAGCTTATTGCCTCTCCTAGGACCACTGGATATTGGCATGAATGTCACTCTGTGGCCACACAGGAGTGTCTGAAGCTACTCCTGAGATAAGAGTTTCAACAACAAAGCTCAGCAGAGCACAAAGTGAGAAGTCATCGTGAAAAAATTAAGTGGTGATATTAACAAATAATAGCTTGTGAATAATACTGTGTTCTCAGGAGAGAAAAGGAGTCCTTACAAATGGGACCAAGTCTTACAATTTTCTCAGGGGAACTGTATGTTTTAAAGAAATATATTTAATGGAAGAAGGACAATGGTTCATGTGACAAAAAATGTCCATTGTGTTGCCTATTTTGGTAAAACAAAACCAATATGTAAGAAAGGAACAAGGTCACTTCAGTTAGGATTTCTGTTCACAGCTGGGGGACATCAAAGGACAACTGGGGTTTTTTCATGGTTTGTTTCCATACCATGTACATGTCCTTGTAAGCTATCAAAACCAGAATTTTCCAGTCATGGCTAATCATTGGAGTTCCCCAACACGGGTTGTTGAATTGAGATGATAGCCCTGGTCAGCTGAATCCAGGTCAGTTGGGCACAGAGATATCTAGTCCAAGGCTGAACTTCCCTGGTTTTGAAAATGTTCGTTGGAATCTAGACCTGTGAAGGGTGTTAATATATGACACTCACATATATACTGACCAGCAGAGTCCTTTCTCAGAGGCTGCAGTGGTTGACAGAGGTTAGAGCTTTGCTCATTAGACATTCTTTGGTTGCTCTGGGTGTGGCCTATATGGAGTCTGACTTGTAATAGCAGAGTTCTGCACTCTCTTTCGGCATACGGCTGAGTAGATAATGTATATGCTTCTCATTAGGAAAATACCAGCAATGGCTGCAAAGTAACTTCCATAAACTAAAAACTAGAGAAAAACAAATAGAGTGAATTAGACACACATGAAATATGACTGTCCTTGATAATACACAGCGATGCTATTGATTTACTTGGATTATGGGGTTATTGAGACCTAGGATCTTAATACAGATCTTTTAGATTTGCATAAAGCTTCCTTCTCTCCTTTTAGAAGAACCAGGTGTGAAAGGATAAGCAATGCAGTAACTAAGAGTATGGGCTCTAGAGTCAAGTTTGTTTGGATTAAATTCTAGCAGATACCACTAATGGTAAAAAACAAAAACACTAAATCCTACTGATGTATGTGTCCATGTTTGGAGAACAGTGCATATGTAGTGTCTCCAGGAATGGATCATAAACACTGAGGTTACTTTTCACCTGCCTTATCCCCTTTATTTCGGAACCATATGTAAAACGTGATGCTGGTCTAATTTTAAGTCTCTCAGCGCTGAAGGGAAAAGGGAAGTAGACTCGGTAAGCATGTTCTCCTCCCCTGTGGCATCTTAGTAAACGTTGGTCCTAGACTGTGGGAGGAAGAGGAGGCATAAGGTGGACACGACAGTGAGCGTCACTTGATGGGGCTTTAGGAGCCAAAGCAAATGCTAACCTACAGTGATTGCTGCTCAAAATCTGCTTGATTTTACAGCTGGTAATTAAAGGAATGGCTTATTTTAAAATCTGCCTAGCCAAGGAATTCAAGACATTAAATACTGGCAGTGGTAAGGCTGAACAAAAGCCCTTTCATTCTACGTTCCCCCAATTACATGAACAGGTAAGTAGAAGTATTGCAACCTACCTGAATGCTGATTGGAAGCCCCAGTCCTCCCTGATCTACTACGATTACAGTTATAATGGTCTGAATCACCAGGGCAATGAAAGTGTTGATTCCAAACACCAGGGCATAGCGTTCCACACTCAGATTAACGGCGATCTGAAACCTGTCATTCAACACATAATAACTTTTAAAACATGAACATACATGGGATTCTTATCTTTAAAAGACAGAGACTGAAGAGAAAATGTCTTACTGACAGCACTTTTTGTCTAAATCTCCTCCAGTATAGACAAACAGGCAGAGCAGAGAAAAAATGTACATATACTTAAAGGCTGAATTAAAATGTAGTTAAAGGAAATGTGGCAAATTTGCTCCTATCCAATTTAATACTTTCGGAAATTAAACCTAAATGTTCTAGTTCTCATAACTTGAGAATATGGGAGGCTATCTGATCTTAGATACTGTTTCACAGTGCATTTTTATGAAAATCAGCAACATCCAACCTAAGGAATTTTTTGGACAGTTATTCTTTTTATTGTTGACTTTACTGGCAGTTTTAAAGTTTGGTAGGTGAATTGTTCTTTGGAAGATCCAAACCATGACTGGCGGTGTAACTGAGTGAATCTATAACTAACTTTTTTTTTCTTAATAATTATATACATTTTGAAGTCTTATTACAAAACACTTTTGAAAGACTGGAAAATATATGATATTTGCAGTTCTTCCTTGGAATGAAGGTAAAAGGGTTCAGGTTCTGAATATTCTTAAAATGAAAAGAAATAATGTCATTCTACCTTAACAAAATACATTAAAAAAAACCCCTCAAGACACATGAGATTGATATATTAACCTGATTCCCTTCAGTGAAAGAAAAAAAAAGGAGCATGCCACAAGTTTCATCTCTTTCCTGTGTTTCATGATCTTTTCTCAGGGTCTTTATATTTCTGTGTTTTCTCAATTACTTATCAAGCATTTTTCACAGATTAAAACCTTGGCACTACTTCTTTCATGTGTTTGAAATTCAAATGTTTCTTATCTCTTTCAGTGAAACCAAATCATATTTCCTATACTCTTATTTCCATGAAATACTCTTATTTCATATTTCTCTGCACCTTATATATGGAACCAAATTCTTTTAATCATCAAAAAAAATCGCTGGGATTTATAGTTTCCTGTGATTTTTGCATTTACTTTTTTTCAGTATCCAACTTCTTATGACGGGCTGAGAATATTTTGTTTCATACAAAAGTATATGCCTGGAATTGCTCTAGAAACCAAGCGAAATTAGAGATGAAATCTCACCTTAATCACAAATCAAACTGCATCATCCTGTGCAAACAGGAAAACAGGAAAATTGCTTGAAATAAAGATTACAACTGACACTATAACATGCCTTTGGTTTATGAACTTACAAAACATTTTTCCTTGCTGAATGATATTAGCAATATTCAATGGATAAACAATTGATTGAAAAGATGGCTTAACTGTGCCTAATTTAATATGAAGTAGTCAACATTTAATATTGCATTGATTAAAATCCTTCTGAAGTTCTCAATGGAATTACAGGAATACAGAAAAGAGAACATGGTTTCGTTTTAGGAGTGGGAAGAAATGTTTAGTAATACTTACACTGCTATGGTGATAAGGAGCATATAGACAGTCTTGAATATCAAATAGCCAGCGTAGCACACCCATATGTTGGTCGTGTAATGCATGAGAAACAGAGAGCCTGCACTGACAACTGAGAAGATGGCCAGAGCCAACTCTCCCAGAAGATCCCAGTTGACTTTCATGTAACCCACTGCAAAGGCAGCCAGGGCCCCTACAAAAGAAACATTAAGGAAGATCCAACATACTGACTTTGCCCAATGAAATATTAACTTGCTGTCTTAATAACTCAGGTTTCAGGCAATTCTGAAAGATGAATATATTACTTTCACAATTTGTGAAAATAACGTGATTCGCCTAGGTGGGGATTTATCCACTTCTCAAGCATGTTTTCCCTTGGCTACTGTCTTTCATTTCTATTGTTTCAAACATTTAGTTGTCACACTTTAAATCAGCATCAACTATATGCCAAACACTGTTCTATGCAGAGGGACCAGAAAGGTTCCTAACTATCAGAGTGGGGAAAAAAGATACATAAACTCAGTTGCTTACTATAACAAGCTCAGGGCAAGGATAGATAAAGATGAAACAATTGTCTGGCAGTACACTTAGACTGTTCATATTTGCCTTTCTTTGTTGTTTTTTTCAGTAATACATAACAGATATGTTGCACTGGGTAGTAAATTTTAGTCATTAGTACTAATCTTAATCTTTCTTCTAATTTCCATCCCAATGACTTCAAGATTTGGCTTAATCTACTTTGGTTTGAAGTGAACAATTTACAGAATTTAAGAGATTGAATAACTGATAGAAATTAGGGTTAGTAATTATAGTTCTTTTTAATGAAGTGAGAGGGATTTATGTTTTGAATTACTGAGATTTGATTAACTTTTCCACATGTGATCTAGGCAAGAACTATTACTACAAAAGAAATAAAATTACTTTTCTTCTCAGAATTTGAAATGTGGGATAAATAATTTCAGTGAACCAATTCCAAGCTGTCCTGGTTTCCAGAAGCTAAACGTTAAGTCTTCTAAAAGGGAAACAATAGTAAAATGGATGCCACATGAGGTTTCTGAAATTTTTTTGTAAAGGAGGGTGTGGAAATCTCCTACTTCCTAGAAAATATCTTCAAAGACTTAGCTGAATTTAAGTTTCTGTTAACCAGGATATAAATATTTATTGCAGAGTGAACTTCAAAGGCAGACTTCTTTCTGATACTAGAATCTTGACTCTCAAATATCTTCCACTTCTGATTTAAATCTCATAAGAAAGCTAATTTTGGAAACGTGTGGTGTAGAACCTGTAATTGCTTAAAGACAGGCACTAGCTAAATCAAATCCTTTATTAACAAAAATACGTCCAGTGAAAATTTGGAAGTCTTACTATTTCAGTTCATTTTCTAAGATAACAGAACACCTTGTTTATATATTAATATAAAATGCCCATTTTCTTGATATTAAAAACAATCCTGAAAGAAAAGAGGGCATTATTAACACTTTTCTTGATGAGGAAATAGGAATCTGGTTAGAACATAACCAGTTGGTGTTGAATTCTGAACTCTTGAGTTATCTGTAACACACTAAACACATTAACTGTCCCTCTTTTCCCCCCCATTGCCTTCTATGCCTGAAAACAATTAATATGCCTTCTGAAAAGACTTAATTTACCACTGTGGAGAATTTAGCAACTGGAGAAATGAATTTAGTTTGCGGGGGGGAGGGGTGGGGATTGGGCAACAAAGGAAGATAGATCAGTGTTTACTTACCTCCAAAGGTTGCAATAGCTTCTACTGCTCCGTTATATACTGAACTCCGCGACGGTGCTTTGTAATCCCACAGGATCTGAACATAGTTCAAAACCTGGTTGTAACCTGCCGTAGAAAAAGCCCACCATAGGGACCAGTAAAAAAGATGCTTTGAGGAGTAACACTGCTTCAAATCTTGTAACCACTGCACAAAAACTCTCAGAGCTACATTTCCTGGCTTTGAGTTGGTCCCCTGGCCATCATCTGGGTCCCCTGAATCAGTGAACACTTCTTTTCCCACTGGTTTGTGATCCTTTTGAGGTTCCTCTGAGACAGCGTCCATTCCTGGTGGCTCTGGAAGGACTTCTTGACTGGGTTTTGCATGAAAAAACATGCTCTTCTTAGGCATGGGTAGGAAAAGTGAGAAGAGGAAGGCCACAGAGACAGAGGCCAAGGATATGACGTTGAGGTAAAAGTAGGACAGGCCGGCCAGGGAAACCAAGAGCTGGGCCAGCACGGAGGCCGCCGTGTAGGCCACCAGCGTCACACTCCTGCAGTAGCCGCTCACTTTCTGGTAGTGCTCCGGGCTGACCACGCTGTAAATGTAGGCATAGTAGGCCACCTCGGTGGAAGTGACCATCCCATAGAAGAATTCCAGCACCTGCATAGTCCTGACTCCTTGGCCAAACAAGAGCAGCAGCCAGCAAATGATGAAGCTAATTCCCTGGAGGATGATGACTGGCTTGTAGCGGACATAATCGGTGAGGATAAAGACTGGGAGCAGTAGAGCCAGGTAAGAGTAGGTCCACACGGGGAAGATCTCATTTGTGAGCTGCAGAGATGGAAAATGGATTCTGTGACCACGAAGCACCGGGAAGTGAGGAGGGTTACCTTTCTCAGACTTGTGTATTACTAAGGTGTTGATCCATGTGGCTTGCCCAATATAAAATTCTGCATCTAATCAGATAGGGTGCTGTGCCGTGCTTAATCGCTCAGTCGTGTCTGACTCTTTGTGACACCATGGACTGTAGCCCACCAGGTTCCTCTGTCCGTGGGGAGTTTCCAGGCAAGAATACTGGAGAGGGGTCCTGTGCCCTCCTTCGGGGGATCTTCCCAACCCAGGGATCGAACCCAGGTCTCCTGCATTGCAGGCAGATTCTTTACCATCTGAGCCACCAGATAAGCCTTAATTAGATAGAGTATCTTCACATTATGAGAAAGCAGAATAGAAAACTGATTTTCAAGGAAACCCTAGGAAAAGAGAGCTCCCCCACCCCCTCAAAAACCCACTTTATACATCTACATGCATCTCAGTATAAGAATGTATCTGCTTAACGTGCAATCTAAACTTTGCTGTTTAGTTGCCAAGTCACGTCTGACTCTTTCAAGACCCCATGGACTGTAGTCCACCAGGCTCTTCTTATCCACAGGATTTCTGAGGCAAGAATACTGGAGTGGGTTTCCTTCTCCAGGGGATCTTCCTGACCCAGGGATAGAACCTGCATCTCCTGTGCTGGCAGGTAGTTTTGTTTCCACTGAGCCACCAGGGAAGCCCCATGTGAATTATGCTAAATGTATAATAGTATGTACACTAGAGTCCAGGCATACCTCATTTTATTGTGTTTTGCAGATACTGTGCTTTTTACTTTTTGTTCTTTTTATTTTATTACAAATTAAAGGTTTATGGCAACATGCATTGAGCAAGACTACTGGTGTCACTTTTCCAACAGCATTTGCTCATTTCATGTCTTTTTGTCGTATTTTGGTTAATTCTTGCAATATTTAAAGCTTTTCTATTGTTGTTATCTTTGTTATGGAATCTACAATCAGTGATTCTTGATGTTACTATTGTAATTGTTTTGGAATTTTTTTAGTAATAAAATATTTTTCAGTTAAGATATATATACTGTTTGGCATAATGCTATTGCATATTTAATAGTCTTTGAGTGAAAGTCATGCTCAGCTGAGACCATTACTTGCTCAGTCATGTCCGACTCTTTGTAACCCCATGGTCTGTAGCTCACCAGGTTCTTCTGTCCATAGAATTCTCCAGCAAGAATACTAGAGAGTGGATAACCACTCCTTTCTCCAGGGGATCTTCCTGACCCAGGGATCGAACCGAGGTCTCCTGAATTGCAGGCAGATTCTCTAGTGTCTGAGCCACTAGCGATTAGTACGGTATAAACATAACAGTTTTATGCACTTGGAAATAAAAAAAATTCATGTGACTCACTTTATTGCATTGTTTGTTTTATTATGTCTGTAACCAAGCAACGTCTCTGAGGTATGCCTGTAAACTAGTTAAAAACTGTTCAACAGACCTGTGGGGTTTTCAGGCTATTAAAAAAAATACTATCCTTGTCTTGCCTGAAGATTAACAACACTTGATAAAGCAGCTACAGTGTTAGAAGAATTCAGCAACCTTTACCTTTGTCTTGATTCATCATTATGGCAAAAAATCTTAGCCCTTGCAAGTCTGAATGAACACACACAGGAAGGCAGCAAAGAGTAAATCACCTGCAGAATTAGGATGTAGGAACAAGCAATGTATTTCGTCTCCTTTCTGGACAAACTGGCTGGGCTTGCAACCCTGTCCGTTTCTCTTCAATTCTGTTGATTTATCTGTTTACTCAATTCTTGGTCTCCACTTAATATGCCTTGTCTTGTGGATTTAGTTAGAAATGCAGGGGACCTCACTGTTCATTCATAGAAAGCACTGAAGAAGTTGTTGATCTTTGGGGCATGGTGGGTACAGGTGTAGGTTGGCCACACTAGCCTCTCTTCCGTGCCCCCTGCTTCCTCCAGCAACCTCAATGTGTCCCTGTGTCAGTGACAAGGGGGGAAGTTCAGTGATTTGAAAGTGGGACTGGGCTGCACCTATGTGGTCTGGCTAGTCCACAGTAGCTCGCTAGTGGCTCATACAGTGAAGAATCTGCCTGCAATGCGGGAGACCTGGGTTTGATCCCTGGGTCAGGAAGATTCCCCGGAGAAGGGCATGGCAACCCACTCCAGTATTCTTGTCTGGAAAATTCCATGGACAGAGGAGCCTGGTGGGTTACAGTCCATGAGGTGGCAAAGAGTTGGACATGACTGAGTAACTTAACACTCTTAACACTTTCAAAGAAATGCTACATTTTAAAAAATAAATTCTGCTTATACCCCAGCAAACTAAAAGGTTATTAAGATTAGATCCTGTGCCTGGCAGTGATTATATTTTAGGCTAAGTATAACAGAATCAATGAGACTTGACATGTTCCCATGCATTAAGCCTAATGTTAGAACTCTGTAAAAGTGAAAATATTTATTATACATGCAATGTGTTTAGGTTTCCCATCTTCGCAAGTGTAAGGTGCAAAGAGCAGTTTGAACAGTTCTATAAAATAACAAACACCATGAAAATGGCATTCATTGAGGTCAGTATGTTAATCTTATTTCCAGCTGAATGACACCCTGACTCTATGTCCTTGTTTAAGTCCTGTAAGATTAAACAACATGAAGGTTTGCATGGGTATTAACTCACCTCTGCACTGGTCAGGTTTTTATCTGGTCCAGATAAATATGGCATAAGGAAGGGTTCTGAGGGTCTCATCATGGAGAAAAACCCAAAGAGGCAGAGGATCACAGTGGGATAAATCCAAGACTGGCTCTCTGAAGTCTGGAAACAACTCATGGCTGATCAAATGAAAACAAAACCAAAATGAGCTGAGGTTTATTCTTTCTGGCATTCTGGGCAGAGAATGGAGAACTGATTTCTAAATATTTAATGAGAGGACAAAGTTTCCTCTATCTCAAGCTGACGTGAAAAAGGTGTGATTAACAACTGCTTTCAAATATTTCTTATGGAAGCCAGTCAACCCTACTTTATCAACAAACTTCTCACTCATTATTGCTGGGAGTAGAGTCCCACTTCATTAGTGCTCTCCATCATAATCCTGGTAATAAGTAGCTACTAATAAAGGGTAAGGGCAAGGCAACCCACTCCAGTGTTCCTGCCTGGAGAATCCCATGGGCAGAGGAGCCTGGCAAGCTATAGTCCATAGGGTTAGAAAGCACAACTGAAGTGACTGAGCATGCAATAAAGGGTAAGGGCTTCCCAGAGGCTCAGTGGTAAAGAATAGTTCTGTAACGCAAGAGACGTGGGTTTGATCCCTGGGTCAGGAAGATCTCCTGAAGGAGGGCATAGTAACCCACACCAGTATTCTTGCTGAGAAAATCCCAGGGACAGAGACACCTGGCAGGCTGCGGTCCATGGGGTCCCAAAGAGTCGGACACGACTGAAGCGAATGAACATGTACACAGTAAAGGGTAAACAATGGGCCAATGGACATGTGAAAGTAAGTAAAACATCAGCTAGCGAATCACCAGTGCACAGGCATATCCCAGAGACACTGCGAGTCTTCTAGACCATCACAGCAAAGCAAATATTACAATAAAGTGAGTCATGCTTTTTGGTTTCCCATTGTATATAAAATTGTGTTTACATTGCACTGTAGTCTATTATCTCTGCAAGAGCATTATGTCTGGCAAAGCACTGAGCATAACTTCATTAAAAAGTACTTTATTGCCAAAAAATGCTAACCATCATTAGAGTCCTCTGTGAGTCGTAATAATCTTTCTGCCACAGTAACATCCAAGATCACTATTCACGGGTCACCATGACGAACATTATAAAAATGAAAAAGTCTGAAATATTGTGAGAATTACCAAAAAGTGACACAGAGACAGAAAGCGAGCAAATGATGTCGGGGGAAATAGTGTGGATAGACTTGATTGAGGCAGGGTTGCTACAACCCTTCCATTTGTAAAAATGCAGAATCTTCGAAGTGCAATTAGGTGCCATAAAAGGAAGTCTGTCTGTGCAAGACCTTCTAGGAGGTCACTCCCAGAATAGAGATCGACTTGATCAAGGCTTCTATAATCTGCCCACTACATTTTGCACAGAAACCTCTGACTCAGAAATCTTACTTAATATGCTGAAGGTATTTATTTACACATTTTCTCTCCATCCGACTCTGAGTGTCTATGATCTGGGAATTAATAATTCTTCGGTTAAAAAAAATTAAGCTGGTAAAGCTCTGACTTGCCATCTTTTTCATATTTCCTTTCTTTTCCATCCTGGTGTAACTCTGTGTTGTGAAAAGAATGCAGCATGTCTCAGACTGTTATTCCACTTTTCTTTAAGATGGGCCCCATCTCATTTCTAAGCAGTTTCACACCACTCAATGGGGCAGGTAGCTTACTGATCATTCATACTAACCTCATACTTCCTTTTGCCAGCTCACCAATAACATTGCTTGAAATTCAAATTTCAGACAAAAACTCCAGTGAAGGATCTCATCCGCCAATACACAGAAAAACAAGAACAGCAAAGCCTGTGTTTTATGGCGGCCACATTTGAGAACATCTTGCTTTTTCATCTGGACTACAATGTGGGACAGAAAAATTCACTGTCACGCCTTCATAATTTTGCATCAAGTTTTCCTCTGTAAAGCGGACATGTGTTTTGGTGGTCTTAGACATGGTTAAGTTCTCCAACATAATTCATAGGAAAGAAACTAACCTGCTGTGAGCCTGAAGCGTTCCTTCTGCAATGATCCTGTCTCTGTCTGCTGTCCACTGGGGCACTCTCAGACTCTTGGCTGCTAATGTCTGGCTGTTCTACCCCCACAGTCCCTACTCCCCATCCCTCCTTCCTCCTGCCCCCGGCCCCCTTCTCCAGGTCACCTTGTCAAGCACTTGTGTCACTGCATAGCCCTTACCTACTCTGGCCAGTTACTATGACTGTGAACTTGAGTAGCATCAGAATCACTGGGGGTTTGGTGAAAACAGGCTTCCTGGACTCCAGCCCTTAAGTGGGATTCATTCAGTGAGTCTAGTGACTTACTAGTGAGGCCCATGAACCTACATTTATAGGCGCTGAGTGATTCTGATGCCAGAGCCCTAAAGACCCTAAAGACCCTCATCCATGCACTGGGCTGAGCGATTCCATGCCACAGGGTTGGGAGGGAAGCTTTCCCAAACCTACACATAGACCTATTACCCTGAAATTCTTTGCTGGTCCTCTAAGCCCTGGAGCGTACAAGATAGGCGGGAGACATTCTGATGGTTCAGATAAGACTTTCAAACCCTGCCCTACCCACTAACCCCTTGACATGCACACAGAACTCTGCCTGTGACCTATTCTGTCCCATCCAACCTAAATGCTTGTCCAGCAGTGGCCCCAGAGTGCCTGTGTTCAGCCCTGAACAAAACGCCATGGCTCATGTGAGAGGAGGAAGGGCTGAGTGCCAGAGAATTGATGCTTTCGAACTGTGGTGCTGGAGAACTCTTGAGAGTCCCGTGGACTGCAAGGAGATCCAACCAGTCCATCCTAAAGGAAATCAACCCTGAATATCCATTGGAAGGACTGATGCTGAAGCTGAAGCTCCAATACTTTGGCCACCTGATGGGAAGAGCCAACGCACTGGAAAAGACCCTGATGCTGGGAAAGACTGAAGGCAAAGCAGAGGACGAGGTTTTTAGATAGCGTCACTGACTCACTGGACATGGATCTGAGCAAAATCCAGGAGACAGCGAAGGACAGGGAAGCTGCCATCCACGGGGTTGAAGAGTCAGACATAACTTAGCGACTGAACAACAACTGGCTCCTTCAGTTGCCACAGCTATTGATATATATTTATATATATATATACACACACACACATATTTTATTATACATTATATATTTCAATGCATATTATTTAAATCACAATTTAAATATATTATATACTTATTTTATCAAATTGTACATATTTATATTCTATATTTATAATGTAAAATTATAGTTTATATATATATAAAATATATACATGGCCCCGAATTTCTCAGACACAGAAACTGATCCTCCCAAAGCTCATGGCACTCAGCAATAAAAGGCTAAAGCTGAGTTCAGGGTTGGGTTTGCTGGTTCCAAGGTTATAGCTTCCTTTTCTCTGATGGGTAATGCCTCCTACTTCCATGGCACCATTTCCATCACCTCCTCATTTCCTTGCCAGGTACCCTGAAAAGTGCTGTAACTAAACAACCTGGTTATCACTCAAATCCTCTCTCTCCTACTGGAGAAACCTGAGGCTCCTGGTCTCACAATGACTGGAAGTTTTGGTCACTATATTTTTATCTTACTGAGATGCTACTATTTACTGTCATCATGGCTATGGCTATGATAATCAAGTTACTTATGCAATTTCCTTGTACAATTTTTACATCTGCAAAATTAATTTTTTAAACTGAAGTACAGTTGCTTTAAAATATTGTGTTAGTTTCAGGTGTACAACAAAGTGATTCAGTTTTATATATATATATATATATATATATATTTTCTTTTTCAGATTATTTTGTATTATAGATTATTAGAAGATATTGGATATAGCTCCCTGTGGTATACAGTAAATCCCTGTTGCTTATCTATTTTATGTATAGCAGTTTCTATCTGTTAATCCCATACTCCTAATTTGTCCCTCCCTACTTCTCTTTCTCCTTTGGTGACCTTGTTTTCTATGTCTGAGTCTGTTTCTACTTTGTATACACATTCATTTGTATAATTTTTTAGATTCCACATATAAGTGGTATCATGTAGCATGTTTTAGTCTGATTTATTTCACTAAGCATAATACTCTCCATTCATGTTGCTGCAGATGGTAATATTTTATTTCTATGAGTAATATTCCACTGCATATATATACACCACCTCTTCTTAATTCAATAGTCTGTTGATGGGTACTCAGGCTGCTTCCGTGTCTTGGCTATGATAGAGTGCCACTCTAAACACTGGGGTGCATGTGTCATTTTGAATTTGTATTTTTATTTTTTCTGGATTATACACCCAGGAATGAAATTGCTGGATCATATGGTAATTCCATTTTTAGTTTTTAATGGAATCTCCATATTGTTTTCCTAAGTGGCTGCCAATTATTTTAATTTTTCTCTGAAAATTTTGTGAAGTAGCTAAACGAAGTGGTATTGTCCTTGTTTTACATGTAATGAAACTGAGGGCCAGAGACAAGATTTGCACTGGTTTTCACGTTTAACCAACATCAAAACATGGACTTGTATTTAGTTTTTCTAATTACAAGGTCAGTAATCTTTCCTCTCACACTGTGTTGAGACTGCCTGGCTATATCCTCAGAATTCCAATTCCAATTTATTTCAGAACTGTGCCTTTCAGATGATCAGTGTCAAAAAATTATAATGGGTTGTCAATAGGATTAAAAAAAAATGTTTCATAAAAAACATTTAAGTATCAAAGTGCACTGCAGAGTATGCCTGTTTCTTCCAAAACTTTAGTTTGGATTATCAGATATCAATACAGTTGATCCTTGAACCAGAGGGGGTTAGGGGTGCCATCTTTTCACACAGTTGAAAAATCAGAGTAGAAGTTATAGTTGGCTTTCTGTGGTCCACGGTTCTACTCTATTGATGATTCTGGATCCATGGATACAACCAGACTGTGTACTACTGTAGAATTTAGTACTGAAAAAAGTCTATGGCCAAGTACAGCTAGGCAGCACAAAACCATGTTGTTCAAGGGTCAACTTTATGACCGTGACTTTTCATTACATTACTGCAGATAGAGCCACTGGCTTAGAAGTTGCAGAGGAAAGAAGAGAACTAAATATCTAACCACATCCCTCATA